TAATGTTCTCCAATTTGAATGCTTCTAGAGAGGCCATTTGAAATGGAGGACTTAAGTGTCCAGTTTCAAATGCCATGTCTTCTACTTACTAAATACTTGGCCTTAGGTAAGCCACAAAATCAGTTTCCGTGCTTTAATTTTCTCATCCCTATATGAGGGCTATGATTGTACTTGAGAGCTAATACGTGTGATGAGTTCAGAAGTGTACCCTGTCTTCCCATACCCAAATCTGCGCATGATTACAGGGTGTTTGAATAATATGATTTACATGAAGGCGCTGCAGAGCTTGCAGAATGTGTCGTAGAGGTAAATCCTAAAACAGCCCTTCCTGCTCAGCTATTCGACCTTCCGGAATCACCTAAGCACCTCAGATTCACCCCAAAGTCAGAAAAGCCCCCTCGAGTGCCAGAAAGCAGAAGAAAGAACACTAGAGATGTTCAGAGTGGGACCTACCTCGGCCGTAGACCAGGTGTCCTTGACCAGGTCAGCAGCGAGGACTACACCACTCTCTGAAATGGCCCTGTGAAAGAGGTTCTTGGCTAAAGGAGACAAAACCTGACAGTGGAGAGGAGAGGAAGAGAGTTTATCGGAAGGGTTTATAATCACTTAGGAAACAAACCTGCTGATTCCTACTTTGTGGACATGCAAAAGCCATCTTACCAATTCAGAGGAATGCCCAGCCTGACCTTGGGACTTGAGTTTCCTCAGTATATAGAACTAGCTTAAATGCAAATAAGGACACCTGATCTAACTCATGTGCTCCTCTCTTTCTAATTGTAGTCTACATCCACCACTACATACAAGGACAGGTAAGGTGAGACCCAGTGCTAAAATTATTTAAAAGGAGAAATAAATCAACTAAGTGAGAAGAGAAGTTGGAGATTCTGGTGGCCCTAGGACAAAAAAAAATTGAATGCTGAGCTTTCTATGAACAAAAGAGAGTTAATTTTGTCTTAAGCTTCCCACCAACTGATGTTGTGCAGCAAACAGTCAGCCTGAATGCGGGTATTGAATGCAAGGGGGTCTGTAGCTGGATTGACTTATCTCCAAGAGATCCTGTAAGTGCTCACATCAAGCCTATGCATTGTTCCTGGAGCCAGGAATACTTACAAGAATAGAGACGCTTGCGCCTCCTGCTGATTCTCCAAATATGGTCACAGAATATGGGTTCCCCCCAAAGTTGGCAATGTTGTCCTGCACCCAGCGCAGTGCGGCCACCTGGTCCAAGTGAGCCCAGTTACCCTGGCTGTGTTCATCTCCTGTGCTGCAAGATAACATGGTGGAGTAGGAGCAGAGATGGCATGGCAGGATTCTCAAGCTCTCAAATGGCCTGGGAGGTTCAGTAAACCTTTCAGAATCAGGTTAGGCTTTGCATCACTGACACAAGGGACTTTACCTACCTCTCAGCCCTATAGCATTGTTTCATGTGGGGTTCTACATGCAATTTTCCAGCAACTATGTGCTGAGCTGAGGACCCACCATGCATCCAACATTGCTCTAAGAGCTGGAAAACATCTGCAGATAAAACAGAATCTCTGACCATGCTCAGTTCACATTGCAGAGCAGAATCAAACAGATAAAAATATGTCAGTTAGAAAAATAAAATGTGGCAGATGTTGGGCTAGTGTTTCAGGTCTTATGAGTGGGAAATTTGAAGCAGTAAAATTTGGTAAAATCTTGAATAAATGAGCACATGGGTGTCATATGTAAACAAATAAAGGAAATTTAGTTAGGAGGCAAGAGGCACCAGGGCCATGGGAGTACAAGTGTGAGTGTAGGAAGTGTGAGCTACAGGTAGAACAGGGGTTGTGGACCTTTACAAGATTTTCTGTCATTGGAAGTAGGAGGCATTGTGAAGCAACATGACAGGGCTTAGTCATTGTCTCACAGAGCATTGTAGCCACTGACTAGAGCAGCCATGGTATTAAAACAGCAAGTTTATAACAATAAGTGGTTACAACTGTAAAGATCAGAGATATAGGGCTTTGACTAGGGTTATATCAAAGGGCGGTGGCAGCAGTACAGTTCAGCTCTGGTCTCTATTGTGGCAGGATTTAGCACTGAAAGAACCTGCAAAATGTGAGATCAAGTGGAGGGTGATTATAGCATTGGGATCTGGGTAGTGCACATAAGACCTTAGTTAGTAGAGGGTGCTTTGTTGTAAAAATACAAAGAAGGTCTCCCACTGCCGGCTTCCCGCCTTGCCATGTGATCTCTTCTATATGTAAACATTTGGTTTTCTGTTCTTCTGTCATGTTGTTTCCCAGAAAAGGGCCCTCACTAGAGGTATAGCTGATGAAATTACCCAATCTCTGATTTTTTTCTCTCCAAAACTCTGTGCTAAATAAATATTTTTTTATAACTACCCAGCCTTAGATATTTGTTTTAATAACAGGAAACAGACCAATGAATATGCAGAGGAGAAAACCCTACGTCTTCTTACCTGAACAATCCCCAGATGCCTAGGCGGTACTGAATGGTCACCACCACTACATTTTCATGGGCAGAGAGGGCCAGTCCATCATAGGTTGATGCCCCACCCATCATCAGTCCACCTCCATGGATCCACACCATCACCTGGACAAGGAGGAAATAACTGCACAGGCCTTGGGAAGGCTGCAGAGGTTGTCTGGGTTGGTTGTCTGCATCTGGGCTGGGACTCAAGGAAATCATCATCCAAAGTACACCAGTACCTATGAAGACTGCAAAAGGCCATTTCTCTTGTGCCCAATTCTCCAAGCTGAAGCCACTTCGTGACCCTGCCTTCATTTCCGCTCCCCACATCCTTCCAAATCATCAAATTGAGATCAACACAGGGCCAGTAAAAGCCAAGAATTTTTTGTTCTCCTCTCTACACTGGACCATTTAGGCAACTGAACATAAACAGGGGGCAGCTCCTGTATTTCAGATTCATCACATACAAGTTCACTCTTCGGTGGTGAATTAAACTTCTTGATAAAGCACACGCTGCCCTGCTGGTGCCTCTTCTAAATGTGCCCCCCCCTCTGAGCATCCAAATCCTCCCACCCGGCTAAGCCCTGCCCATCCACTTCTTCCAGGATGTCTCAAAGCATTTGACTAGCATTACCTCAGAACCTACTGTGTACTTTGATAAGACTTGAGGGTGAGAGGGATACAATAATTCACAGTTCCTGCTGTGTTCAGAAGATAACATAGATCAGGAAGAGACGGAGAGGGTAAAAGAATGTTGGGATAATAATGCTAATTAAGAAGAAACTATGGTGGGTACTGAGGAACCAAGAGTTGTTCTATGCACTAGATATAGCCTCTCCATGTGGTAAGGAATAATTGTTTCTGGGCGACTGATAAGAAAATGAAGTACTTTGCCTGCTGAGAACCCAAAGTTAATAAGAGATGGTGACAGTGCTTGACTCTGCTGTTAGGCCTGAGCACCCAGATGCTGAGCTATTCAACCCTTGCATCCAATGGCCATGGGCCAGTGATACAGATGTTGGGTCAGAAGTTAGACCCTCTTGCACAGATACACTGGTCATAACTGCTGCTGTGTTTGCTCAGGCAGGACTATGATACAGCTTGACAGTTACCATTGATCTCTCACATGTAACAACTCCCAAAAGGTTAAGAAATGACCCCGGTGTTTTTATCTTCTGAAAGGCAGACACAGGATTTGAAACAAGACCCTGTGGTTCTAGAGCCTGTGTGCATAGCTGGAGGGTCTCTTGGCACCATGCCTTCAAACTCCTGTGTCCTCCTGCTGGGATCCCTGCCACCTCCAGGAGAGACTGAACCAAGGTTATATAGAATGAAGGCTGAGTCCCAGGGCTTGTGGGCAGGATGCCCTGAAAATGTGATGCTGAGTCTGTGTGGATCAGATGACAAGGTCCTAGGAAGCAGAGATATATAGGAAAGGCTCAGGTTCCTCCTTTCCCTGACTCCATCTGACTGTGTTTGGGGACAGGGCACTGAGTACACAATAGAAAATGACCTAAAGAGTGGGCGTGAGGTTTGTCTCCATCTCCCTGTGTTTGATTAGCACACAAACCACTAAATCTCAGCACACAAATCCACAATTCTCTCTCCCACTCAGATTCCACACGAGGGGGTTACTGGGAAATTGGCTAGATGCTGGCCTATTACAACCCAGAGATCACCTTCTTCTCCAAATAACCCTCCCCCAATCCATGACCTGTACCTGGTTGCATGTCATATGAGATGCTGATTCACTGTGTTATCAAACTGTGCCAACGGCGATTAGAGAGGGAAATGAGCTACAGTGAAATCCCAGAGTGCTGTCCAAAGGCATGGAAGGTGCTTAATTATGAGAGCGTCCCAGAGTCCTCCCGCCTCACTGCTTCATGGGACAGTGAAAGTCTTCACCTGGCAGTAGAAGTTATCACAGCTGGCCTGAGGATAAAGGCGCCACACATCCTTCCTAATCCTCTGTAAAAGCACAGATGAGAAGCTCAGGAGGCCCCTGCGCTAATCCAGACCCATTCCATGCTCTCCCTTCCCCACCAGGGCTTCCATTTCTCTATCAGCACAGGAAGTGTTAGGCTACTGAATATTCTCTAAAACTCCTCCCAGTTGTAACTTTATTGGAAATTATATCTTAACTGTCTTGGTGATAAGATTCGAATGAGTAAGACTGATCACTGTTTTCCTACTGTGACAAGACATGGAAAATTGCATGTTTAGGGCTGACCACTTAGGATTGGATAATCTATTGGGGAGCTTGTCCCTGAAGAAAACCGATTCTCCATCTTCATCAGCCATTTATTGCCTGTAGTTCTTCATTCAGTAGGTTGCACACACATACATACACACACACACTACACTATACACACAAACACACATATTTTGTAGCAAATAATAATTAAAGAAGGGGTTAGGAATTGACAGGGAGTAGAAGGGGGTGTGGGAGGAGTGGGAAAGGAGGGGGGACGGGTAGAGATGGTATAAATACAGTACTCCTATGTGAAATAAAACAGTTTAAATTATGAAAAAACTTGGAAAATTACAAAGTGAACCCCAAATGTACAGTAATTTCTACCAAAGTGTGAGAATCAGTCCTGGCCTATGTACCCCTGCACCAATCTGTCCTCATCTTTGTGGGATGTACAGTAATTTCTACCAAAGTGTGAGATTACTGGAGGAAGTTGTGAAGGAAATTGTGGTCCCTGAATCAGTCCTGGCCTATGTACCCCTGCACCAATCTGTCCTCATCTTTGTGGTTGTAGAGAAGATCTGGATGTTCAAACATGTATCTGAATCAGTGACCCTTGAACTTACAGGCAATCGACTGTACTTTGTCAAGTCGGCAGGAGTGTAAATATTTAGGTAGAGACAGTCTTCAGAAAACTTGAGAGGAATGTTCTCCTTTCTGTTAGTAAAGAGCTCTGAAAGCATCTGTCCACCAACTGCATTTTGGGAGCACCTAGGAGGGGAAAGAGAACACCTGAAGTTCCACCAGGCATTTTCTGAAAGTGTCATCTGAGGCTGACCTGGCGCTGGAGGACTTGAACCTAAAAGAATTTGCTTTTAATTGGAGTCATTGCCATGGGTAAGAGAGTTTCCAGGGGTCCTGGTAGTAACTCTGATATTCTTTAGGGTCTCTTCCAGGAGTTTATGGGGTGCTCTGGGCCAAAGAGAAAGGTGCTCTTTTAGTGACGAGCCCTGGGAGATGGCTGCTGGGACTGTCTGCACAGGGCTTCCACTTGCTGGGCTTTGTATGGTCAGCAGTAGGTGGCATCTTCTCAGAAGATATCCATCAACCAAGAGAACTGACTACAATCACAGAGCCTATTGCCATCTGTCATCTATGGCTTCTTTGTGAAAAAAAAAAAAAAAAAAAAAAAAAAAAAAACAAAAAAAAACCTCAGGCGAACCACATGCTAGTCCTGCCTCAGCCACTGATTTGCTAGGTGATATTAGGTGAATTCATTCCTGCTCTGGGCCCCAACCTTCCAGGTTCACAGATGAGGTGAGTAAATTCTCCCAACAGCTTTGCTGCCTTGGCTAATAAGATTTTACCATCCTCCCAATCCAACAATCACTGTTGGACCCTTGATAAAGGGTCTCAAAGTTCCAATGCAGAGTGGAATAGATAGCAATTACCAAGTCCTCCCATAGCATCAGGAACTGATTCAAGTTCTCCTTGTGTTCGAAGCCATATAAGACCGAAATCAGCCCCTGGCATCTATTATTATCCCCATTTTACAGGTGAGGAATCAGAAGCAGAGAGAGGCTTATCAACTGGCACAAAGACAGCTAGGAAGATCCATGCTGGTGATTATTTTTTCAAGTATGCTATAAGCTACATTCCTAATCCCTTTCCAATGAGCGAGCCAGAGATCACTGCCCTCCTGGTGTACAGGAGAGCTGAGGCTGTGAAGTGTCCCAGGGTGCAGAGTGGAACAGCAAAGATGCCTTCCATATCTCCATCCTGGGTATTTTTGCTACATCTCTGAGAGCAAGTGGTACAACACTCATAAAAATATAAAGTCATGAGAGGATGGGTTCGGACCTCCATCGGTATAGCAGCTCGGATCTCAGCAGCACCAGAGAGTGCCAAGCTCTGGCCTCCATCTAGCAGAGGTCCTGGGACTGCCTGAGAGTCCCCAATCCTGACTCCATGAGGTGGATGAGCATCCCCTAATTGCCCTATATCCATCTTCCTACCCAAGGTTTTGTGAGGCCCCTCCCAAGGCCCCAGGGCAGATCTGGCTTTGGTAGACTAAGGCTAAGGTCCTAGCAGACAGCCTGAGGGGGTAGATTGGATCTCCATCTGTCCAGCTGCTTGGATCTCAGCAGACTGCCAGAAAACACCGAGTTCTGGCCTCTTTCGGGCCTCCCTCAGACAGAGGGCCTGAGAATGTAGGAGACTGCCTGAGAACCCCTGATCCTGCCTCGACATAGTGAAGGAAGCCTGAGTGTACCTGACTGGAACCTGAATCCGGCTTCTGTGGGTACTCCTGAATAGCTGATCTGAAGCTTCCAAATTAAACCTGAGAGAACCTGAACCCCGTACCAACCAGCTTTACATAACCAATAAAGAAAGGATCTAGGCATCCAGATAATACAAACAGAAGCATATTTCAATTGAATTATCATATCAGAATCATAAACAACAAAAGAAATTCACATGCCAAAACCTTGAATTATCATATCAGAATCATAAACAACAAAAGAAATTCATATGCCAAAACCACAACAAAAGAATAATAAAATGGAAAGACAAAACACTATGTCCCCACCAAACTCCACCAATTCTGTAGAAGATTTCTACAAGCAGAAACCCCTGGAGATAACCCAGAACACTGAATTTAAAACAACAATCATAAAAATGATCAAGGAATTCAACGAATTTAAAGAACACACGAACAACCAAATCAAGGAACTAAACGAAGATAGGGATAAACTTATGAATGAATTCACAAAAGAGACAGAAACATTGAAGAAAACAGGCAGAAATGAAGAAGGAAGTGCAAAACTCAATAAGCCAACTTGAAACAACAGGGGAAAGCCTCACAGCTAGAATGAATGAAATGGAAAACAGAATATTAACACTGGAGGATAAAGTTGAAGAATTGGAACACTCAAGCAAAGAGTATGGAAAATTTAAAAAAAAAAAAAAAAACCCCCACGGAAAGGGAACATAAAAGAGAAA